GCCTCGGCCCAGCCACACTCTCGACTTCTGGTCGGGATGGCGGTTGGTCCGGGCACGGACAGCCCTGCGGGAGGGTCAGGGGCGGGATGTCGGGTGGTGGCGGCTGTCTTTGGCCTGCATACCCCCGCTCCTTCCCGTCTAAGCTTTGTCTAGACCTCCTTTCCATCCTGGCCTCGACCTCGGCTTCGTGCTCAGCTTGTGGCTTGTTTGGGGATCGAGGGTCGTGGTACAGGCTACGGGCAGGGTGTGTTGAGGGGTCCTCGGCCCCTCCCCGTTTCGTCCTGCCTTCCTTCCCAACGGGGTTCTCCTTTCCGGACAGATCGTCGTCCTCGACACAGTCGAGGTGGTCTGAATCTCTGGGTGGAGGGCCGTTTGGGGAGGGTTTTGGTCGTGAACGGGCCGGTGTCGGGTTGGGGGGCGGGGAGGAGACAGCGCTTGCACCCTCGTTGCCCCGCTGCTCCCCGGTGCCCTGCCTGGCCCCCCGAACGGGGGGTCGGGTGGGCCCGTGGCAGCGGCTGGTGGCGAYGGCTTTGCAACTTCTTATTGATTTACCTGCTCTGATTTGTCGCTGTCCGGGTTGACGGCCCATTTCTGTTCTGGTCGAGGGGTCGGTCCTGTCAGAACGGCACCATATTGTAGAACTCTCGGCAAACGAATATCGTGGCCCCCGCAACGATGAAGAGCGCAGCGAAATGGGATACTGAATGTGAATTGAAGAAATCCATGAGCCATCGATACCTTGAACGCACGTGCCGCCCAAGGCTTCTGCCGAGGGCACGCCCGCCTGAGCAKCATTGGATTCCTCACGACCTCAGCACCTTCCGTTTCGGAGAGTGGTGGGGTCCGTGGTCGTGGCTTCCCTCGCTTCCCACTTGGAGAGCGTCGATASCCTAAAGTGGAAGGGAATTGTGGAGCATTCCGAGCGGGCCTGTGGGGGCCGCAGCCGAGAGTGGTGCGTTTCGCTCCGCCCTGTTGCTGCCCTCCAACACTCGTGTGTGGGTGGTGGTCTTCGTTTCCCTGAAAACAGCACGTAAGGTCGTCCCTCTGGTTTGTCTGGTCGCCGCCTTCCGTTCGCTCTCATCAGCTTGACGTGGGCTTGCGGTTGGGGGTGTCGGCCTTGAGCTTCGGATGTACGTCGGGCCTTGCGTCTCCTCAAATGTTTGAACGACGGTCATCCGCGTCTGAAGAGAGCCATCGCCCTTGTATAGGGGCCGATGAGCTGCTT